GTGGAGACACTAGCGGATCCAGAACAATCAGGAACAACGCTAGTTCTTCTCTCTGCCCATTATTTTCGCTGTAAACACTCCTCTAAACGTTTCGGCCTTCTTCATGACCCGTATGGGGCCTCAGTTGGCAGACTCGTCCAGCGACCCCTGACACTTTTACATACGATGGGCAATTGTGAAACGTATGCATACGCGTATGCGGGATGTATCAATGGCGCCGCCGTTGCGCAATGGTTTGCATGGCTATTAAACGCTTACGAAAATGATCGAAGGATTAGGCGAAGGGGAAACCTGTCTGCTTTCAGAGACTGAAACGAGGAAACGTACAAAACTCAGACGACGACGTGAAAGGCCGATGAGATGAGGGAAATCGTGTTGAAAGAAAGAAACGACGATAAATGGAAATAATGGGAAATATAAAAATAAAAAGTAAAGAGTATTTTGAAATTAAGGAATATTTGGCAGATGGTATGTAGAGGAGCCATCTAGCTGAACTTCATCGAATGCGTGATATCATGGCTTACGAACTCAGCCAGCCATTCGATGCGCACATACTAAGTCATCGGCTACAGATTCTCACAATCCTATGCCTACCGGACGAATCTCTTGTGTACTGCAGAGGGGCGTTCACGTTTAGGGACTTCTTCTTCAATCTAATGTTCACCCCAAGTAAATGGCCACTCAGAAAACTCAGAAAACGTCAGGGAAATGTAAAGCCTGCCCAAATGATTCAAAAAAAGGTTCTGATACGAATGAGTAAATGATAGCGAAGAAAGTAGTAGTACAACAAAAGATCTCACTTGCACAACATTTTCCTTCGGCACACATTTCCATGTTAGTGTTGCATTCATCGTCGAGACGGCAATGTCTCGTCCAGTCCGAGCCATCCGGGCACAAATCCTCCGTATTGTCCGTGGAGTTCATCACAGCGACCGGAGGGTCCCGTGCGGCGCGTTGAGTGATACTCGGTGCTATAGCATGCAATTAGTATCTAACTGAGGCAGTGTAATTGGCATTGATCGGTCGTGATTTCACTGATTTTTTGTTAGAAAGCTCAGCAACAATCACGGAAACAAAATGTTGTTTGAAGAAGGGTTAGAGTGGATAAGAAGGCTTTTGCATTGGTAAATTAATAAGTCCACTGCAGGGCCAGAGCCAGCGATAAACAGCGGTTTCAATCGATATCTATTTGTCGTGTGGCAGATACGTGCCTCAACTCCAGTTTATCGCCAACTCAAAAAGCTGCTTACTGCAGGTACCTCAAGACACGACAAAGAGATGCCTTCGTTTGCCTCTCAGAAAGAAAACCCAAGGAGTGCGCATCAGGACGAATCTCCTTTTATCATCTATTTCCACCCTCTCTCTCGACTTTACAAGGCGTAACCTTACGGACTAGAAGAAACTCTTTTTTGAAGAGGCATCGGGGCTAGTTTGATATGTCTTGAGGCATCGTCAACAGCAACTTCAATTCCAAGAAAGTGCCAACGGTACCGCGTTAAATGTATTCTCACTTTCATTTTGTAGACCGACGATAGGCCGAATAATTGGGCAACAGAATCCACGATCGCATAACTCCCCAAGAAAACAATCTTCCTGAATTGGCATGACACAAATGACAGAATTTGAACCGTACAGCAACCCATGATAGACAGAGATTCAAATGGTGAACAGTTCATTACAAAATGTAAGTGATTTAGCGATTTCTCGGATTAGGGAGTCATAGGCACCTACTTGCTGGACGCATCGGTAGTATGAATATCGAGAATCTGCACATTGCCTGCAGCTGCCTTCGGATTCACATAGTCCTCAAAATGCAATGACTTCAATACCATGTTGGAAAGGTAGGCATGTAAACAGCTAAGATTTGTAGGAAAGGAGAAAATAGGACGAGTTATAGTTGCAAGGAGCTGGATTAACAATTTTATCAACTTACGCGAAGTTCGAGTAACCAAAAGGCACTCCGATATGCCTCTTCGACGACAACGAGAATGAAGTAAATCTCACTCACTTTTATGAGCTCGGACGAGGTAAACCAATAATAACGCCGGGAACAATCGCATGACAGGAAAAGCCGACGAAGCTCTTGCAATAATAATTCCCGAATGGCAGAGGTTAGGTGGAGGGCAGGTGCAAAGCGGCTGCGCAACAAGATGTTTTTATGAGCACTGGGGGTGTGCCGCCCTCCTAACCACCCACTAGCAATTACGGTAGCCGCTGACAACGATGACATGCAGATTGTAGTGTAGTGGGCGTGTTTTAAAGGGCATCGATATAACATATGAAGAAAGGTGAAGGTAAACACAAGTCACATAGTTCCCGAAAGCAATTCTTGCTGACATGGGCAAATCTGGCGTGAAAGAGAGAAAAGTTGGAAAAAAGTAGTTGAAAAATTTTCGTGGTTTGCTACCGAAAGGGGCATTTTCAATTTTTTTTNTTTTTTTTCTTCCGGAGAAATGGAGACCATGGCCGCTCTAGACATGAAGTTTTGTATGGGCATAAGAACTAAATACCTTACAGACTCGTAGCAGCGAGTCCAGGTATTTAGTTCTGGTGGATTACTCAAAATCTTACAGCAAATGAGAGAGTTATCGGAGTAAGTAGAAGAACGAATAGCTCTCAAGTGCGCCAGACTGTGTAGCCCACTGTATGTGCTACAGGCTACGAGCTTCGTCTTCTTCTCATTTGGATGCGATCGGACCGGGAAGCCATTGTAGGCTGATGTAAAATAGTTCCTTTTTTCTTACTGAAAACAGATCCACCGGAGGTTGCTATGATTGTTTGAGGGTTAATTGAATAAATGTATCACGAAATGTCAATATTTGCGTAACAGAACCGTACTAGCTATGATCTCACTAGAATACCAGTGAAACATAAGTTTAAAGATGACTTTGTGGTCAATGTAGTAGCACGAAAGAGAAAAAATGAAAAATGGTGGGAATATTCGCAATTGGCTGATCTCTACGGGAAATTCTGAGAACTTCGACGAAGTAGTTTACGTGTTCAAGTCAATAGGTAGCCCGTAAGCCAACAAATTTAAGTACAAATATAACAGGGCAAGGTTATTTGGCGCTACCAAGCCCTATAGGAGGGGAGAGGGAAGGGGTGAGGGATGCGCGCCGACCCACGACTTCCAATCAGGACTAGAGAGGTACTTAAATGCGTTTGGTCTAGACAGTGGCGGAACTGTAGAGATCCATAGATGAGGGAGTTGATCGGAATCTAATCCTGC